AGCATCGGTGTTAAGTGCTTGGTCATCATAAACATCGGTTTTGTTTTTTATCTTAGTGTTTCACACGTTAGTGGGGAAAAAATAGGAAGTACAACAAATGCTGTATCACATTCAATTTAGATGAAAGTTGGTGATTTGCCATAATTTGGTTCATCTGAAACTGCAACTGATTTAACTTAAAATTATCCAGAAAACATGAAAACCACATGGTTGACAATAAAGACATCACCTGGGATACTGACTGCTTCATTTTGCATGTCGGTTTTCAAAATAAAAGCGCTGTGCTGCTTCATGACTTGTTGTAGGTCATTTGGTGGCATCAGAGGAGAATGTTTGTCTTCAATGGCCAAAATAAAATGAACATTGACCAACATATTTGATGTATATTGATGATCACATTCATCAAAATATAATGTTTGTTACCATTTTCACAATTGTTCGTAATGATGGTTTTTATGACTTTATATTTTTGTGATTTTATGATGTAAATCTCTTTGAACTGCATTGTTGATTAAATACATTTTATTGATTGTCTGCAATGGAGCCAGCAAGAGGAAAATATCTGACATCTGGGAATACTTTGACATGATCGCTCACAATCAAATTCTTCTTTAAAAAAATGATTAATAAGAATCTTGTGAGCGATCAAGTCTTCCCAGATTTCAGATTTTTTTTCTTCTTGCTGGCTCCATTTCAATCAAGTTTATTTGTGCAGCACATTTCAGCAACAATGCAGTTTCAAAGTGCTTTACATAATAAAAACACAAATATAAAGCCATAAAATATACCATAATCAACAACCGGTAACAAACATTACATTTTGATGAATGTGATCATTAAAATCATTAATAGACATGAACTATGTTGTTCCTTTTATTTCGGCCACTGCTGAAGACAAATACTCCTCTGATGCGCAATCAAATACAATAATCCATAAAGGTCATGATGCTTTTATTTTGAAAACCGACACGCAAAATGAAGGAGTTACGTGACCCAGGCAATGCAGGGATCGTTTGTTGTCAGTCACGTGGTTTTGGCAAGACAACACAAGCATCAAAGCGGGGCTTCATCTGACACGCCCCCTTTTTACCCGGTACGCCTCAACCTGGATTCAGAGCCCATCGCTACCTGGAGATCAGGTGATGATGATCAGGTGTGAGGCGTCGCAGCTCAGCAGCAGCTGTGACGCCTCACCTGCAAACTAGATGTCTTAATTAACACAGTCATATGTCTGAGGGGAAAGAGAAACAACTAACAAGGAAGCTTGATTTGTGTACAGGCAAACTGTGACCTAAGCCTTCTGAGATGTCATTTGCAGGTAAGATTGTAATTTTGGTTGTTCAAAGGTAAGAAACATTAATTTATACAACTTTGAATAATCTAGAAAAAATGTTTATTTGCTCTAGTTTAACACAACAAATTCTTCTTTACACAGGTCAAATAAGAATAACTAATATCAGTGCTAATTTAGAGAGTAATCAAAGTCTTATGGCAATAAATAATCTACTTCAATAAAGAAGAAAGCAAATATTTAACACATGATTCTCAGCAACAATAGCCTTGTATAAAAAACATGAAACAGCATTGTGTAACAAGGTTTAAAGTTATTTCAAAACATTTTAAGGCCAATTGATTCGGGAGACATTTTGTTGCAAAATATAAGTTGTACAAATTGTTGTCAGAGACGACAGATGTGGAATTATATTTACCTCTGTGATATTAGGCAAAAATATGCTTAAAACGGCATTAACAAAGTAAATGTCTGTTTGGTGGAGCGACATAAATTCCACATAGCAAACTGCTGAAACCAACACATCTGCTGATTTAGTCAGATGATCGTCTGCATTACTGGAGCAGACTTGATGTCAGTGGAAGAGCCGTGTTGTGGTGGGAATGTTCTTCATCGCTGTTAGGAAGAGAAAACACTAATAAAAGGGATTTAAATGCTGGGTTCATTTTTCCTCAGACATATTTTGACTGGATATTGTTCATCATAATTTATTTGCTGGTTGTTGACCGTTCTGACAGCAGCTGTGTAAATTTCTTTAGTTTTGTGAAGACAAACTTTCACAGGCTATTTTAGGATCAGTATCGGGCAACACCCTCTGTCTCCTGAAAGATTAGTGTCCTTTTGTTTACAGTCCTTTTGTCTGGCTTTAACGGCGTTCACTAAGCTGCTGATATTTTTAGATGTCCAACATCTGACAATGGTGCACATAACTGACCACAATAACACAACTACATGACTGTTGGACTTGGAGAAAGAGGAACATGTTCCACCAACTGCTGCCTGCTTCATGCTCTTTGCTGGTGGCCTTTCATTGAGCATGTTGGCTTTGAGCAGTACCTTGTCTATTGTCTGTGGCCGTCCAAAGCCACGTCCGCATGTCCTTTGTTGCTCTTGGTTACGGTGGTTTCAAGCCGTTCATCTTTCTCTGCACACGCACAGCTGTGCACGTCCAGGTGTTGGCATGTATGCCTGAAAAGCAAGACGGACACTTAAAGTAAAACCAAATTTTTGACTTCATCATAATTAAAAATACCAGAGAATGCAAACAAAAGATGCAGAAGAGTGATCATGTTTGTAATGTTCTGATATTGAAGCAAAAGATGCAATGGATAGTTGACAAATTGCCCTGGTAAGAGTTCTCCTCGTTAACCTTTCTTACAGTTTAAATGTGATCCTGTCGACTACTGAGGCAAAAGTTTGGGATAAAAACTCATCATTCTGGAACTTTATTGATATTGTGAAAAAGGGGTATACATGTTTTTGGTATACACAAATATTTAGTTTTAAATGTTTCTTTGGATTCATTTTCTGGCTTTACATTATAAAATGCAGACATCAGAATATTTTTTTCTTGCATGACCAATTCTAAATGATTGTCTTGAGGGCTTTGTATATAAAATAATCTTCTGGTTTTGTTTAATTTTCTTTGCAGTTTCTACTGTGGTCTTTTGCCTTCACATCATCTTCCTTGCGCTGCTTATGGTTGTGTCGATGACGGCCATGTTGCTCCTTGTGCGGATGCTAGTTTATGAAATCGGTAGATTTGGAAGACGTGAAAGCACCCTTGGTACGTTTCAATGTTCCTCTTTCAACCCAATAATGACACTGAAAACAATACTTCCTGTTTCACTGGATTTAATAAAGTTGAATTAAAAGTAAAATTTAATTGTGCACCCTGAAGGTCTCGGAGCATTTAAGCAAAAAGTGACTGAGTATTGGACCTGGATATCAATATTTAACTTTAACTGAATAACTTTTCAGCTTAATCCCATAATTTTGATAAGTGCAAGTTGCACTAGAAGTTTGTTTTGTTCTTTCACTTATAGCAACACACTTTTCCCATGTCATAAGTGAAACCTATAACTTGTTTTCTTCTTTGACAGCCTCCCTTTGCTGGCACTCAGTATTTTTTGTTCCGCCTGTGCTTGGTTTCATGCTGTTCCTGGGCAGCATTTTCCAGACCATGGTTGATACATTTGATCAGTAAGTCACAAAAACACCACATCATCATCCGTCACGTTAAGTAAGGTGATTTTAAACTCCATCTCTCTCAGCTATTTGTTGGCACATGGATGAACCAACATGGCCTCAGAGGAGGAGGAAAGAGCCTCACGACTCGACTTTCTGAAGCTGCTGCCTGCAACTTCAATTCATCTACGCATGAAAAAAACTTAAGTAGGATATGATGGATATATTGTAACTTTTAAGGTTTACTTTTCTCTGGAAATCGGTGATGGGAGGGGTTGATTTTCATTGTGAGTATACATTTATGAATTAAGGAGGGGAAACGATGCTGAACTAGTTCCTCAGCTAACTTGTAATCAAAATGTATTTCTTAAATCATCTGTGCCAAATAAATTGTTCATACAAAGTAATTTATGTTCTTAAACCTCTGAGGCAAAAGAAAAAACAACTCCTGTGGATTTCTTTTGCATCACATTCCCACTACGTTGTTTTGCTTAAGATGGCTGCACTTCTAGATTTAAATCTGAACCTGTGAAGTGTGCGCAGGTTTCTTAGAGAAATGGAGCTAAGGTGCGACTTGCACATTGAAATATGTTCTCCAGTCACCAGTTTGAATAAATGATCTCAGAAAACTGCAGAATCATGTCAACGCAGAGCATAAATGACGAAAAAGCTTTGTGGATGTACCTAGTATGGTCTGACTGGACAGGGCTGTAAGCAGAATAAGAGGAACAACTCGGAGGAGTCGGGTCAGAATCGATAGTAGAATCCAGCCGAGTGATGAGCTTCCTGTCTAGTAGCAAGAAGCGCCATTTTCATCTCATCAGACCAAAGAATTTTCTTCCACCTGGCAAACTCTAGTCGAGCCTTGGTGTGTTTTCTTCAACAGTGACTTCCTCACTGCTGCTTTACCATGACACTTTGTGAAAAACCCAGGCAACTGTTGTATGCAGAGTCTCTCCAATGCCAGCTGCTGAAACTTGGAGCTCATGGTTACGAGTCCCGTTTCCTCTCTAGTCTTGCTCTCTCACGGGTCACTCAGATCGAGGAATAAGTGACTGCTGTGCTTGGTCTGAACAGTATATCTGCTTTTTGTGTTTTAAATGTAAATTGAAAGATTAAGAAAAATCACTTTTATGAATATTGGTGGAAGCAAAGTTCTGCACTGTGAAGTGCATGGAGGGGAAAAACCCAACCAACTAGCAGCATTAAAGTACAAGCCTTAGTCGCTACACCATCAGTCATTTTTCATGTAACATAATTGCCAAAACCCTTCTTGCTGCAACCGTCACTGCCATGATGAGCACAAAGATGAGGTTTGATTTTGGTTGATGGTGAATGATGAGGCAAGGTATAAACTGCATGTTTATGCAGGGCAGTTCTGTGGAATTTCTGCAGAATTGCCCCATGTTGGGGCAAGATTAGAAGCTCTTCAAGTATCCAGTGATTCTGCAGTGAAGACTAAAGGCTGTCTAAGAAGATGGATAATTCTGCATCAGGTTTGCTGATCAAATTTCTCCTCATCTTTTTCAACGTTGTTTGAATTTCTTTAACCTGTATGATTCATTTTGACTCGTCTTCAGCTTGTAAATCTCATCATGAAGTCGTCAGCTGTGTTCCTCCTGGTCTTTTCCATGATGGCTCTGACCATTGCTGATCGTGAGTATGCATCAAATATAGAGTGACAAACACAAACGCACTAATTCCTGTTTTAAATATCCACAGCTGTCCCTGATGATGGTCAGTGGGTGTTTATGTCGGTTTATTATTTCCTGAGTGCTCAGTCAGAACCCCAACCATAAAATGACTAAAATGCAAACACACCAACTCCAGTTTAAAATATCCACAGTTGGCCCAGATTTCTCTGTCATGTTTTATTTCCTGAGTGCGACGCTGAATCTAATCCATAGCATATGATGCTTACATCTGCTTGTAATATACTTTATTAAAGCATATCACATACTTTATCCTCAGATTATTTAATAGATTTGTCTTAATGTCTCCACTGCTCATTGCAAAGCACACATGGCTTTGGTTTGCATGTCACTGTTATGTCGTCCTTGAAGGATTTATCTTTTGTAATAAATTTAATGACATCATTTTAATTTTATAGCCTGTCTTAAAATAAGATCTTTATAAAACTAATGCCACATGCACCACTTGATCTGAACTCTGCATTTGTTTATCAGACCAAGTTGACTTGCACCAGAGATCTATTTATTGTCCTTCTGGCTGGACTCGGATCAAGAGTCGCTGCTTCCGCTACGTTTCCAGACGCAGGAGTTGGGCTACAGCCGAGGTGATTTCAAACACATTGTGCTCTTCTTTTTCTTTTGGTCTCTTTTATTTCACAGTTATGCAACAAAGTCCAACTACTTCTTAAGCTAATTGTTACGCGTTTATCTGTAGAAAAACTGTTTGAAGATGGGGGGCAAACCTTGCATCAGTTCATAATAAGAACAAGTACCATCGAATTCAGGCTCTGATATCTAAAGCAAGTCGTCAGACTAAATCAACGTGGATTGGAGGCTCTGATGCACAGCAGGTATTTTTGCCAGTACACTTTATTTTTTAAGTATTTTATGAAATGAGTCATCTGCTGAACTTTGTCTTGCAGGAGAAGACTTGGTTTTGGAGCGATGGAAGACCGATGAGCTACACAAACTGGTGTCCGAAAGAACCTAATGATTAGAGGAAACCAGCACTGTTTGCAGATGAACTGGACGGGTAAAGCAAAATACCACAGAGGTCTGATTATTTTATTTTTTTCAGGTTCTATCAGGACTCGGTTGTTTGTCTAAACATCTTAGTTTAACTGTAAACTCAGCTAATGAATTAACAGCACAAGCTTAACTAAAAAGGCAAAAAGTTTTAGTTGATCAACCTTTCCAATCATTTTTATCATATAGTGTTAGATGGTTTTTATTATGTGATTAATTTATTTTCTTGCTACTAGATAAAAAGTGCTGGGATGACTTGAACTGTGCTGATCCTCTGCCTTCTGTCTGCAGCAAGACGATCAGAAAATGTTGAGGTTCCCAAAGAGGCCTGGTGTTTAAAACAACCAGTGGAGGATGAATGCAAGTTTCTGTTTACCTGGTTTTTTTTTTATGCATATACTTATAATTTCTTTTTAACACAGCCTAAGAAATGAAGCGACAAACATCTGGATTGTCTCTGTAATAAGATCAGACGAAATGCATTATAATAAAGGATCATCTAAGCAAAACTTTGTTCTGTTCTGTGGCTTACCAGAAATTAAAACAAGATGGTGTGGTTTATTTTCTGTTTTCTGAAGCTTTTGTTTTCAAAAATATAATATACTAGTTCTTAAAATAAAGAACTTGTTCTTAATATATAATATTTCTGTATAAATTGGATGATTTTACCCTCAAAAGGATACTATTAGATCAATATCATGTTCAGATATGATCCAACCCTGAGAAATGTTGAAAATCTTTAAACATGAATTCTGTGGAACTTCTTTATCTTAATGCAAAGTTTGTTAGACATGGATGGAAGTTCAGCTATAATTCTGTAACTAGTTTGGCTTTCTTGATTAAGAGCTGATTTTTAAGTAAATGACACTAAAATCTGTTGGACGTTAGTCAAGTTCATCAATGCAGTTGGCTGTTTCATTTTACAAGTTTTTGAAAACATGACAGAATATCTTACTGAGATCTAAAGGGTGCAATTCTTGCCAAGACTCAAACTTTTTGAATATGCATATTTAGATACCACATAGTGTAGACCTTGGTAAGGATGACTTGGCAATTTGGAAAAACCTTCAGAAGGGGAAGAAACACCAGGTCTGAATTCATTTT